TTGTTCTGAATAATGACCCTTCCTCATTCTTCTCTCATGGCTGTGCTTACAGCTTTGAGTCCCTAAGTCGTGAAACCCCCTGATTGGTTAACAAGTTTCCTAAGTTAGAAAAATAACAGATGGATCCAGTCAAGGTGAACTAATGGGGTTTTTCAGTATTTTTCAGCCCTGTCCAGGAGACAAACTTGACATATGGATCCTCCTTGACAGGTAGGGGTGTTGGAAGAAGACCTCTGCAGCCTGTAGGATAAGATAAGGCCTACTCCATGCCGGAAGTGGCTCAGCCCACTCTCTTGTCCACTCAAGCTGGCTGCACTGCCTGCCCTTCAGTAAATCAGCATCCTTTGAAAGGACTGGGATTAGGTACACCTGCCACTCTTGCCATTGTCCTGGAGGGGCCATGGAACTATGGCAGCTGGAGGTAGAAACGGTTCATGACACCCTCCCCTGGGCTGACCCCATGGGCCCTTTTCCCAGACACTTTAAGCCCCTCCAATTCCTTGATCACCAAGCCTGGGACTGCCAAACAGTGCCTCTCAGATATCCATCCTCTCATCAACCATGCAACCAGCCTGGCATTGGGTGCACAATGCTGGAAGCACACACCATAACCTACTGATCAGGCTAGCAGGATTGGTGGAATGGTAGCTCTGGAAAGTGTCACCTTATCAAAAGGGCCACTGGAGGGACAGGGGCTGGGCCTCAGCTGACAAGTCTGTCCACCTTCCAAAACGTAGCCTCTTGCTTTGCACAAACCTTGTTGGGAAAAATATAATGGCAGCCACACCCCAGAGGGAAAAAAAAACAACATGGCACCTAAGGACCTTCTCTTCCTACTTTCCCCTTTATTCACTGGCGCGAAAAGTTCCCATGGGTGTGAACTCTCCCGCTGTCGCCAATTTCAAAACTCACTGGTGGGGAACCTTAGCCCCAATAAGAACTAATTCCTGGGCTCTGGAATTGATATCTGGAAGAATTTGCCAATAAATGGGTGGCCTGCCATTTATCTAAGCCCTGCCATCTCTCCTTAGATCTATATAAGCACACAGCCTTTTGCAATAAAATTGGAACTCTCCAGGCGAATTATCTTGTGTGGAGGATTCTTTCATTCTCGTGCCAAAACCCAGGATACGGGTGAGCTCATTCTAACAAGAGCCCCCGTCTGCCTCTCCACTGAAACACTCCGCCCTTGTCTGCTCTTTCAGACCCTGGCTCCCTGCACTCACCACTGATCTGGCTTAGGTAAGTTCCCCCTCCCTGGCTCACCAACTCTCTTTGGGCTAACAGCAGGAACTGTGACCGTGATCATCCGGTACACTCCTGACGCCTGGTAGGGAGGAGGGAACCAACCCCACTAAAACCTTCACAGGCCACAGTGGACCTTCTGGAAACCCGCTTCCCTTTGGTGTGTGAGGCTTCTGGGTTTAGACAAGAGACTCCTCAGTTTCTTCCTCCTCTGCC